TGGCAGTACAACTTTCCAAAAAATTCTCCACCAAATGATTAGCGGCAACTAATTACATGTACATACATATAACATACCCGAGAAAGTTTTGAGGATTACTTGGAGATTACAGAAAAGCTGAAAAAAATTGGAAAATTCTGGGGGTAAATTGATGTTCAGCACGAAACTTCTGTTTTTCAGACCAGAAAACTTTGATGCCAATCACAAAGGGATAGTTCTAATGGTACCAAACCAATGATGTAGTCAAACTCTCCACTCATGCGATATCCTTCCTCGCAGCAATTACATTATCGACAGAAGGATAAACTAGAGCTCAAAAGCGGAGTAAAAGAGAGTTCCCTGCAAGAGGTGGAAGACAATGGGAATTTTCTAGATATGAAAATCTAATTTGAAGAGGTAAAACACATTCTGAAATGCGACTTAAACTGGGGAATTTCGTATAATCGAAAGTTATATTTAGTCTGAGAAGAAAAGCAAAACAGTAAAGTTCTAACTAGCAACTTACCTTGAACACAAGTCCAATCATCCATATATTCAATTTGAAGATCCTACAGTTATTAGCGGTTGCTGCTTTGCTGACCTGAACCAATAGATATTAACTATTTCCTTAACTAAAACGAATCAAAATAGGTCATAAAAGATCACATATGAAAGTTCATTTTGCAGTTATACACCGCAAAAAGATGCGAGGTAAGGACATGCACTGAAATATGTCATTTGGTCCGTTTAGGGTCATTTCGCCGAACAAAAAACATCCAAACCTTGCCTCAAACACAAGGAGAAATGAGCCACGTCGTGCAGAATTACTAATTTCCTTTCGCAAAACGACTTCTACACTTTTCCATCTTCCGATTTCCGAACTCCAATTATTAGGAAACTAAGGCTTACCGTAAATGTGTAGATCGGTTCAGTGTAGTTCGGTGGATAGCTTAAGGCACAGTGTGGATGCGGTGGTTCCCAGACGATCCCTTCGTAGACAGCGATCTCGTGCACGAACAAGCTCGGTACACAGAGCACCGCCACGATGATGTAAATCGCTATGCACAGCTTCCACGCAAACTGTGGACGTTGCCATGTGCTGGAAAGAAAAGTGGATCGCACAAGTTAGAAATGAAATCTATTCATATTCAGCCCCAATTTTGCTAATCGTTGATCGAAATTTGTACTTTTATTGAACTTGGGAATAGTTTTTGCAGGCACTCCTTCAGCAATCACTTCACACGGAAAAGAGAAAACGATCTCTACAAGCAGGTTGTTTGACTATATTTACTCCTTTTTATCATTTTTTTCTTGTCCTGAATTTGTCCTTGAATATTTTAGAGTGGGAGACGAGCAGTGGGAACGGTTTTGTGTAATCGATCCGCCGCACGCGACTGTCGCGGATCATTTGCCTCATTATAACAGTTCTAGCTTTATTCATACAGCTCGATTGCTATGCGATTATTACTTTTGTCATGATTCTACTGTTAGTTCTTTTGTTCATGTATTCCTTACTTGTTGCTGCATTCTGCTACACTCTTTCGCGCGACGTCTCTCTCGCCGCGACGCGACAATGTCGTTCCTACTGCACCACGCCCGTTAAGACCCTTCCATTGGATAGAGCATGCTTTTTAGGGTGGTTTGGACGAAAAACAAATTTCAAGAGAAATTCTGATTCGCTCATGCATTATCAGATTCTTCGTGTAGTCATGCACTCGATTTGCTCTTCCAGTAATGAATAAATTCAAATATCTCCATTTGGTATTCACTTACATCATCTTCAATCAAAACCCCTCTTTTAAAAAGATTTTCGGACCTCAAGTCCCTCTAGATGGACAATATACATGTAAGGGTGCCACGACTCCACCCAGTAGCTACTGGGATCAGAAAAGTATTCCCCTAGGGTCATAAGCCGATGTCATTCTGCTAGGCAGAAAGCGAGATGGCATCAGCTGAGAAAGGATCACAAATAGCAATGAGCCCTATCGTGTAAAGCTGTTAAATAACAATTTACCGTAGCACATTGACGCCTTGCTCAGCAAAGGCTAGAAAACACCTGTAATTGTTTACTTTACTTTCTTATTTAAATAGTAAAACATAACTAACCTATTCAATCTGGCTACCCGTAACGTCATTCGTCTGATAAATGCCATTGCTACAGCCAACCATAGTGACGTGGTGTGTAAAGTTATACTGAGCATTACGTGCCATTGAAGAAATTGCATCCATCCATGCGTGAACGTTGGGCTACTGTAAAAACAAAAATAAATCGGTACTACTGAAGCAGTTGTTTTGCAAATGCCCTGCAGAGAAGAATTTTGGGAAACATTTTGCGAGGGCCTAGCAAAAAGCATGCATTGCTACAAAAAAAAGCGGAGTGGAAAGCTCTGACTAGGACAACAAGTTCCTTTTATCCAATAATAAGGATGAGGATCAACAATAAAGTTGCTGGAGTAGACCAATCCCATTCTTGGGATGCGCCCCGCAGTCATCTTTCAGTCAGAATCGTTGTGACGTTCCTTGAATGCGTATGTGGCCCATAAACTTACTTGCCATGACCTGTCGATGTACCTGACAGTTCATAATCCCCCACCCGAGACTGACAACCCGGTCCAGGAATCGGTTGGCCTGGGAGACATCAACATGGACCAGGACTCAATCCCAGGTCATTGCGAATCTAAACGACTATGAACTCCCAATCCGATACTTTTCGCATGTTTATTTGCTGGGGAGCAGTCACGCTACTCCCGTCAAAGCTCTTTGGCAGCGTCAAGGTGTTCCATCATCTATGCGTATCCTACACACAAATATAAAACGAACCCTCGGGGAGTATCCAAAATGCGTCACTGGAAGACCCCAGGGACGTGAACGTGTGAAAAGCCCTGAACGTAGCATTCACAGATCTTTAGATTCTCAGAATAGATATCAATGGGAGGCATCAATAATAAACTTGAGGCAAACAAAAAATGAAAGAGAAAATGAGAGGAGAAAGGAACGTACCAAGTGCTTTGACGTAAAACGACAAAATGCGAAATGTAGATGAGATAAGTGGCCATGGTGCCGATATCACAGATGGCGACCGCTGTCAGGACACAGTTCACCGCCGAATTCCTCATTACCGGCCGTGTAAGGACGACGACATGCACAAAATTCGTCAGAATTCCAAACACACACAGACCAATACAGACATATCCGTGGATCGGTGCATAAAGGCTGAAACAGACCTATTACTTACTTTGATTACTTTACTCAATGATCTAATTTCTTAACGAACACCACAGTTCTGTTAGAAGAGCGAACAATTCTTTTTGAGGGAGCTGAACGTTTTAGAGTTGACCTCTCCAGGGTAGTTATTGTAGCTTCTTACTCAGTCATATTGTTGCACGACAGAAACATACCACTGGGTAGCTACTCGTAGAAGCGTGGGTGTTGAAATGGAATTGAAAGGAATTCCCCTGATCCTCCAGGAAGAAATGGGAATAGGGAAAGAAGAGTTATATTGGTATTTCTCTCAGCCCATTTAGAACTATTCCTAGGATGTGTTATCCTAGAGCTGAAAAAGTAATCGAGTCCTGGTCGTATCAGGAAGTTGAGAATGTGCCACCCTAGCTTATTGAAAACGTTTTTCACCTTCCTGAGCCAAATTTGATGGTAATTTCATACTGACTGCTTCGGCAAAGTTTTGTACCATATCCACGCGTGGAGAATAAATGACCTACAGAAACAGCAAAAGTGTTCCATACTTCGCATGTGAAATGCATGGCGTATCCTCATAAATCAATCAAAGCCACATTTAACCCTGGAAGTGTAAGCCCAGAATAGTGGGGCGGAGGAAGCGAGAAAGTCCACAAGTCTTCGGAATACAAGGACGTTGAAATCAGTCAAGCTCGAATTTGGTTGCACGAGATTATTGCGTCAAAAAGGGTGTCTGGACGAGATTTTAGTCGTGTGCGATAGCGTGAAGAGCTGGCTTCAGCAAGCCCTTGGGACATGTCACTTTTGGTTGTGGTTCCTATTTTTTGTGCCACTATTGGGCCCTATCTAGGCCATTTTCCAACTAGGAAGCGGGTCATGTGCTATTCGTGATGGCCACAAATTCATCTTTGTGAAGAACCTCAGAAACCACTTTCATCGTGAAGGGTGGCTTCAGGGTTATTCTTCACGGGCTTTTGGCCATTCTTTTCAGATGTGGCAGGCATCCAATTTTCTTTTCAATTTATTCGAGCCATCCAGGGCATAGATAGCTATGCTATACATAATATGTAGTAGGTTTTGCGATGAGCCGAGATTCAATTCGGTTCTGGTCGTCATCTCTGGACAGTTGAAAGATATAAGGGATTAATCAAAAAGCTAATGTATTATAGCCGATTCCGTAGGATTCGGACCAAACAGTGGCAAAAGCGACAAAGACGGCTCCGGCTGTGGCGCTCCACCACAAGCTCAAACAAAACCAAAAGTACCAAAAGTTCCTACCTTTGAAAGTTAATCAAAGTGTTGATGAAATTAAGGGTTGCATTTTGAGTGAAGTCAAATAACGGTGTATCGTTTGGACATTCCATACTTCATCAACGACATGAGAGTGACATCCGACTGGAAAACGATAATGATAATTTTGATTTTGAATGGTAATATTACTATTATTCACGCAGTAATTCGATCTATTTCCACAAAAGAGCACACTTTCAATCATGAAATTTTACAGAAAAGGTTGTGTGAGAAGACTACGAAGAGAGTAACACGATAAAGCAGTAAAGGATAATGAAAAGCAAGGCAACGGCCCTGTCGAAGCTACTGTTAAAACCAAGGAAGCCGTTCAGCACATAAAAACACGCTCTGGAAATGAAATCTCTTTGATTTACAGACAGTTTCCTTATAAACTTATCGAATGCGTTAGTTAATATGTAAGCATCTGAATACTTCAAAATTGAGTTACGACTATGTATTTGATATCTGTTTACTACAGGAATACTCGTTTCATAACTAGTTGTTGTACTCGCGCACCAAGCCTGCTCTCTCTTTCAACCCCAACCTTCCGTTCGACTTTTCCGTGACTGCTTGAGACTGCGAAAGGGCCGTGAAATATTCATCATTTGAGGAATGCTCCCCAGTCGGAAAACGGTTATAGGGTAATGTCGAAATTGGAAAAGATGTAACAACCCTCTCTTTGAGCTTTTTTTAGATAGTCTGCTAGGAAACTGCCCTAAGATATTGTCTGAGGCCGCTGGGGCCGTAAGGTATGCTCCCCCGAACAGGGGAGGGTCCCCTTCCCGGTAAGATATGCTCTCGGGGAGAG